CTGACATGGAACATCGACGGCACACATTCATCGTGCTACACCTCTGCTCAGAGCTCGAAGCACCATAAGCTACGAAGATGGACTTCACTCGAAACGTTTTCTTACACTGTGATCCAGGTCCCGAGATACGGAAGTTCTACAAGAAAACGGAGCTGCAAGGAAACGCTAAGGATACAGTCCAGATTCTTGGATTCCTGGGGCGAGATCTGGAGTTCATGAAAGTTGATGCTTGTCTCTAAAGATTTCCCGTGGGTGTACAGTCATCGTGCTACCATAGAGAACACTGAATATGGAACGAAGGGGCCCTGCTTCTCGAAAGGCGCGAGGGCTTCTGAGGAGCCCCGCCGCCTTCTGAGAAGGCCTGTCCCCCCCCCTCGGTTCGCCGACGATCGACGGGTTGCTTGGCGCTCTGAGGCCGTTTTGACACACCCCTGCCCTGGCCATTGCACATCTTACGTTTGTGGTAACAACTGTCGTCGGCGTCTCGGTCGAGCGCCCCATTCTGAAAAGGAGCCGCGCTCCACCCGTGTAGCGGTTGGTAGGTAGTTTGAAAGCGAGAGCGCGCGACGCCAAGGCGAGAGCCCCATACGCCAGTGGATGGCCGCTCTGGGCCGCGGCGCCGCCTGGGCATCGGTTTGGCTTTCTTCGGGTTTGACGCGGTTCCAAAGCAACTCCTGCTGCGGAAGAAACTTGCCATCGCTCGGACGTCCGTGCCCTGTGCACGTGTCGCTGTCGTGCGCGCCTGTTCCTCGGTGTGGTCCAGTATGCTCGCCGATGGCCCTCGCCGATGCAAAAGCGCACACGCCCCAGCGATGCCGAGCCAGAGACGGTCGAACCATGAACGCAGCACCGCCCCTCGAGAACACGGGCCCCTCCGCCGAGAGCCCGAGGCCCTGGGGAGACAAACGCCCAGCAACGGCCGTTCGAAGGTGGAGAGCCCCAACCACGAAGCACATCACGTATCCCTCTGACGCTGGGGCTGTTATTGCCCCTCGTTCCAACTGATCTGTGGTACAGTGGAGGCTAGTCCACAAGAAACCCTCCAGAAGAAACCCAGCCCTGAAACCTCCAGGACGTCCACTGATTGCTGGTGTGGGAATGTCACGCTTTGCCTTCCACCGCAAAAAAAACGAAGCCCAAGAAACCCAGGGCACGCTGGAGGCGAACAGGGTGTTTCTTGGCATGGGCCGCCACTGTAGAGTCTGACATCTCTTAAGCATGCGCAATCGTTGTTTCCTCTCCTTTGGGATGCCAGCCCCGGGACTCGAACTCTGTTTTCTAATCCAAGTGACAGCCTTTTGCCTCAGACTGTGCCTCTGGCCCCATAACTAAACAACAACGACAAAGGCAGCACCAAAACAGCAACAACAACAACAACAGTCATTCCAAAACTGTTCGCTCTTACTTGCCCGTGTGCCATTCATAACGAGTTCCTCACACCCTCGATACCCGCCCGTTTTGTCTTCGATCACATCACCTTTGGGGGGATTATTTCTCTTTGCGGGGGGCGGCGGGCTTAGACAGGCGGGCAAACCTAAACGGGCGGACAATCCTTCGTGGGCGTACATGTGCCCGCCATTGGCATTGGTGTGGGCCCTGCAAAAAGAGGAGGGGCGGAGAACGAGGGAAAGCGGGAGGGAGGGGGAGGGACGAAGGAAGAGGGATAACGCCAGGACAGAAGGAACGAAGAGGGGGCGGTTGATTTGAGGCAGAGAGAGAGAGAGAGAGAGAGAGAGAGAGAGAGAGAGAGAGAGATCGAGAGAGCGGGAGAGAGCGAGAGAGAGAGAGAGAGAGATAGAGAACACAAAAACAAAAACTAAACAAATACATATAAGAGGGGTAAAGAAAGAGAGAGAGAGAGAGAGAGATAGAGAGAGAGAAAGAGAAAGAGAGAGAGAGAGAGGAGAGACAGAGAGAGAGAGAGAGAAAGAGAAAGGAAGAGGGAGGGAGGAGGCAGGAGAGGGGAGGGAGAAGAGAGGCGGGAGAGGAGGGAGAGGGGATAGGGCACAGAGGCATACGGATGAGGGAAGAGAGGAAGGAGAGAGAAGGGAAGAGGGAGGAGGGAGGACGGATGAGGAGGAACAGGAAGGTAAGCTCGTGAACGTTCGAGGAAGTCCTAGGCGAAAGCGCCGTTCCTGAAGAAAGCCTCGGGCGGGAACCCACGACGGGCGGGCGATCCCCTGACGGGTGGGTCGGGCGGGTGGGACATTGAAGCGGGATGCCTGAGCATGGCGAGAGCGCGATTCCTAAGTAAATTGTGACGGCGTCCTTGGCGCAGCGTGTTTCCTGAGCGTCGAAAGCGCGACTTCTGAATAAATTGCATGGGAGCCACAGGCGAGAGGAGTAACTTGTGAGCAACTCTCAGGCGGGAGCGGGGTCCTGAGCAAATCAAAACGAAATCTCAGGCGGGAGCCGTTGTTGTTGCAATCCGGGGGGGCCAGGGGCGCAGTTTGAGCATCAAGACTGCCCGTCAAAAAACAGGGTGCAAGCCTCGAGGGGCACACTTTGATTGAGAAAAACAGTATGCACCAGTGATTTGGGGATCAACAATAATAATCCAACAACAACAACAATCAGTTTAAGACTGTTCGCTCTTATCTGCCCGAGTGTGTGTCCACGCGTATTTCCCAAATCCTCGATACCCGCCTTCTTGGTTTTCGATCGTACCCCTTTTGGGGGGTATACCTTGCTTCCCTGCAGGCCGAGCCCTGGCAAGCGGCGGGGCGGCCGCGGACCGTCGGCCTGGCCAGCGGCAGCGCTGATCGGCGGCAACCTGACCTTAAAAGGGACGGACAGGGAACCGACCACGACGACGACGACGACGTCGACGACGACGACGTCGACGACGACGACGACGGCCACGACGGCGACGACGACGAGCGAAACCGAAAGCGAGAGAGAGAGAACGACAGCAGGGCCACCAAGGGCACGAAGTAGGCCACGAAGGGCGGCAGCGGGGACACGAATGGAATGCGTATGTGGCCATGAAGAGCACGAACGAGCGGGGGCCACGAAGGGCAGAGAGTGCGGGGCCACAGAAGGCAACGACGGGGCCACGGAGGATAGCAACTGGGCCACGTAGGACAGCGAGGGGGCCACGAAAGGCGACAGCGGGGCCACGAAAGGCATGCACATGGGGCCACGACGTGCGCGAACGAGCGGGGGCCACGAAGGGCATACGTATATTGGGCCGCGGAAGGCAAGGACGGGGCCACTGAGGGCAGCAACGGGGCCACGAAGGGCAGCGAGGGGGCCACAAAGGGCAACAGCGTGACCACGAGGGGCATGCCGATAGGGCCACGACGGGCGCGAACGAGCGGGGGCCACGAAGGGCATACAGATATGGGGCCACGAAGGGCAGCGAGTTGGCCACGACGGGCTGCAACGGGGCCACGAACGGCAGCGGGGGGGCCACGAAGGGTCGCAACGGGGCCACGAAGGGCAGCGAGGGGGCCACAAAGGGCAGCGAGGGGGCCACGAAGGGCTGCAACGGGGCCACGAAGGGCAGCGAGGGGGCCACGAAGGGCTGCAACGGGGCCACGAAGGGCAGCGAGGGGGCCACGAAGGGCTGCAACGGGGCCACGAAGGGCAGCGAGGGGGCCACGAACGGCTGCTACGAGGCCGGCCACGAAGGGCAGCGAGATCCCGATTCGTAAGTAATCTGCGAGGGGGTCCTCAGCGTGAGCGCGATTCCTGGGTGCCTGAGTGTCGGGGGCGCGGCGCTTGAGTAAATTGCAGGAAATGCAAACACAAGGGCGCTATTCCTGAGTAAATTGCAAGGAAGTCTCCAGCGAGAGCGCGACTCCGGCGCCGAGAGAGCGACTCCTGAGTAAAAACCGAAAGAATCTCAGGCGGGAGCGGGGGTCCGGGCTAAATTGTGAGGACGTCTCAGGCGGGAGCCGTTTTGTTGTAACCCGGGGGCCAGGGGCCCAGTTTGAGCCTCAAGACCTTCATCAAAAAAGGGTGCGAGCCCCGGGAAAGGCACTTACATTGGGAAAAAAATGTGCGCTGGTGGGGGGGGTCAACAATAATTAATTCTTAAGAAGTGAGAATTCAATCATTCTAAGACTGTTCGCTCTTACTTGCCCGTGTGTCATTCAAAAAGAGTTCCCCACACCCTCGATACCCGCCCGTTTTGTCTTCGATCACACCACCTTTGGGGGGATATTTCTCTTTGCGGGGGGCGGCGGGCGTAGACAGGCGGGCAAACCTGAACGGGCAGACAATCCTTCGTGGGCGTACATGTGCCCGCCATTGGCATTGGTGTGGGCCCTGCAAAAAGAGGAGAGGGAGAACGAAGGAGAGTGGGAGGAAGGGAGGGGGAGGGACAAAGGAAGTGGGAAAACGCCAGGAGAGAAGGAGCGAAGAAGGGGGCGGTTCATTAGAGACAAAGAGAGAGAAAGAGAGAGAGAGAGAGAAAGACACATAAGAGATGTACAGAAAGAGAGAGAGAGAGAGAGAGAGAGAGAAAGAGAGAGAGAGAGAGAGAGAGACAGAGAGAGAAAGAGAGAGGGGAAGAGAGAGAGAGAAGCAACAATAAAAAGGAAAGAGGGAGGGAGGAGGCAGGAGAGGGGAGGGAGAAGGGAGGACGGAGAGGAGAAAAAGGGGATAGGGCAGAGAGGCATAAGGATGAGGGAAGAGAGGAAGGAGAGAGAAGGGAGGAGAGGAGGGAGGAGGGAGGAGGAGCAGGAAGGTACGAGCGTGAAGGAAATCTTGGGCGGGAGCCCGCGACGGGCGGGCGATTCCCTGACGGGTGGGTCGGGCGGGTGGGACATTCAAACGGGATGCCTGAGTATGGCGAGAACACGATTCCTAAGTAAATTGTAACGGCGTCCTTGGCGCAGCGTGTCTCCTGAGCGTCGAAAGCGCGAATTCTGAATACATTGTATGGAAATCACAGGCGAGAGTGCAATTCCTCAATAAAATGTGAACGGTTCTCTGGCGGGAGCGGGTGTCTTGATTAAATTGCGAGGAAGTCTTGACTCAATTGCGAGAAAGTC